GAACAATGAGTAACAAGGACACTACAGCATAGGAAGAGGGAAATACAAAACAAAATTAGAATAGAGAGGTATCCACTAGCGCTGGAAGAAACCACAATAATTTAATTGAGGTTCCTATTATGGAAGAAGAATTGAAAATGGGTCATGAACATACCAGGGAACAGAATATTGGAGGAATTCAGATCACTGCTAAGGAAAATGCTCATATCAAGGAACACATATCAAAATTTGGGAACTGAAAACCACACATCTATATAAATTCAAGAAAAGAACTAAACTGTAGCTAAACGTCTAGATGGAACTTCAAAAAGAAACCTAGTCATATTTCTCAGATTACAAATAAAGGTCTGAAAGTAAGAAAATCCAGAAACCCTATCACTCCTAATGCTCCTTTACTATCTGAATGAATCCAAGATAATAACATGAATACAGAAAATTTAGCCCCGCCTGATAATAATAGTCCCACCACCAATCAGACACAACTTGTGAAGCAAACTAATCAGAATCAGTTTCAAGAAATGAATCAGAGGAGAAAGGAACAGGCAGATGGTATCACTTTTCTTTCTCAAGATTAATGAAAATCTTTTTTTGGAATACCCAAGGAGTTGTCAAACCCTCCTTTAGAAGACATTTCAAGGATTGTGTGAATATCTACAAGCCTAAAATCATCACTCTTATGGAAACTCGCATTAGCGGGAGTAAAGCAGATAAAATCATCAACAATATGGGTTATAACCGTTCTTTCAAAATCAAAGCCCAATGACACAGTGGTGGCATTTGGGTTTTGTGGGATAATTCGATGGAAGTTAAGATTCTTAATGTTTCTAATCAGTATATTCATGCTGGTTTTAGAGGCATTAATAGTAATTGTTGGGAATACTTTACTGCAGTATGCTAGCCCTAACCCTATTATAAGAAGTAAGCTTTGGGAGATTTTGTCAAATCTTAACCCTTACAATAATGCTCCCTGGATCTTAGGAGGTGACTTTAATTACATCCTAAGAGATGAAGAAAGAATTGGTGGTAGTAATCGATATAGAACTGGGAGTAAACTCTTTCAAGACTTCATCTTCAACAATGAGTTATTGGATATTAATTATCAAGGAGATGATTTTACTTGGTGAAGAAGTAACCTTTGGCAAAGACTCGACCGCTGTTTGATGAACATAAAATGGCTGGAGTTATTCCCTTATACTAGAGTGCAACATCTTGACCGTATTGGTTCAGATCGCTATCCTCTCCTCCTACATACTGATCAACTTTTCAATGACAACAAGAATAAACCTTTTAGATTCCTGGTTGCGTGGATGGAGCACCCGAATTTTGAAATTTTTTTGAAAACAAAATGGGTTAGACACAATGACTTATTAGAGAGCCTCAATCATATTCAGCTTAGCTTAGGAGTTTGGAATTGAGAAACCTTTGGAAGCATTAACCAAAAGAAGAAAAGAATTATCTCGCGCTTGAAAGGTATTGATAAGGCTCTACGCAAATGCAACTCTTCCAGACTGTCTAACATTGAATTCGATCTAAAGATTGAGCTTGATACTATATTTAGACATGAGGAACTTCTCTGGGCTCAAAGAGCGAGATGTAAATGGATTGCTCATGGTGACAAGAACTCGAAATACTTCCACTCTTGTACAATCGCGAAAGGTAGGAGAAAACGGATTACAACTCTTAAAATAGATTCGGATGTTTGGTGTGATGACCAGAAAATTCTTAAGAAGCATGTTAAGGAATTCTATGAGAAGCTATTCACTAGAGATCTTTCGATCAATCAAAATTTGGATGACCAAAGACTTTTCCCTGAGCTGAAGAAATATCATTGGGACTGGTTGGAAAAATCGGTTGACAACAACGAGATTAAAGAGGTTTTATTTATCATGAGCCCTCTCAAAGCTCCCAGATTAGATGGCTTTCATGTTACCTTCAACCAAAATAACTGGACACGGTTGGGGAGAAAGTTTGTCATTTAGTCAAATAGTGCCTTAATGGGGGTCAGATTAATGAAGAGATTAACATAACGAGTCTGGTTTTAATTCCTAGGGTAGATAATCCTGAAAGAATTACTCAGTTCAGACCTATTATCCTTTACCAGGTTATATACAAAATTATTATGAAAGTTATTGTTAACCGCCTTAAACATATTCTGCCTACTGTCATCAGTCAAACGAGTTTCATTCCGGGAAGGGTGATTACTGATAATATCATTCTTGCTCAAGAGGTAATTCATTCCATGAAGAAGAAGAAATGAAGGAAATGATGGATCGCCATAAAAATTGATTTAGAAAAAGCTTATGATAGACTGGACTGGAATTTTATTTAGAATACTATGGAGAAACTGGACTGCCTAACAGGATTATGAGAGCTATAATGAACTGCATAAACTCTACGACTATTCAGATTAATTGGAATGTAGAACTTATCGAGCCTTTCAAACCTTCTAGATGAATCAGACAGGGAGACCCTTTGTCACCTTACCTCTTTGTTATCTGCATGGAAAGATTAGCATAAGAAATTACTTTAGCTGTGGAAAATGAAGCTGGAAACCTATTAAGTTTTCTAAAAATGGTCTTAATATTTCTCACCTTTTCTTTGTAGATGATCTAATTCTTTTTGCGGAAGCTGATAATTCTCAAATTGAAGTTATTCAGACTACTCTAAACAGATTCTGTTGCAACTCAGGGCAGAAAGTTAACCTGCAAAAATACAACATTTATTACTCCAACAATGTTGATGCGCAAACCAGAAACTTCATTACAAACAAGCTAAACATTAAGGAAGTGAAAAATCTTGGAATATACCTGGGAGTTCCTTTACTGCACAATCGAATCAATAAACACACCTACAGTAGTATTATTCAAAGAGTTAAAGACAGACTCACAGGATGGAAAGCTAAAGCACTCTCTTTGGCAGGAAGAATTATGCTTGCCAAATCGGTTCTTTCTTCAATTCCTGCATACACTATGCAATCAATTTTAATTCCCAAAGGAGTGTGCAATGAGCTGGAAAGACTTACCATGAATTTCATTTGGGGAAATACGAATGAACAAAAAGGATTACATCTTGTGAACTGGGACACACTCTGCAAACCTGTAAAAGGAGGAGGACAAGGACTAAAGAATTTAAGGAGCCAAAATAAGGCTTTTATTTTTAAACTTGCTTATAAACTCATTAACAGACCTGGGACTGGAACAGAATAACAAAACTTCTCCCGGATCAAATCCTCAATTGGCTTAATGCTACACCGCCTCCAGTGGATGAGTTCATGACTGACTCTCCAGGTTGGATCCTCTCGGAAAAAAGAGTATTATCGGTGAACTTTGCATACAAATGGATATCAAATATAAACATCAATATGGATGGAAAACTTTGGAGCAGTATTGCTAAACACAAAAACATGCCCAGGGTTAAAACATTCTTATGGCTGATTGGAGGAAACAAAATCCTGACAAACTCGGAAAGAAAACGAAGACACATGACGATAGATGAGAGCTGCCCTATGCGTGGTTACGAAATCGAAGATATTAACCACACTCTGAGATTTTATCCTAAAGCCTTAACTATTTGGGTAGAATTGATCGATCATAGGAAAATGGATAGATTCCTAAGCAAGAGTATGGAGGAATGGGTTATCGAAAATCTTGAAGCGACCCAATCCCTTATTGCAAGAACGAAAAATTGGTTGACTTTCATCAGTTTTGTTATTTGGTTCATCTGGAAGAGAATGAATCAGGTAGTGTTCAACTCTGAAATGGTTGAGAGAGAATCAATCATCCAACAAGCATATAAACTTACACAGGAGGTTGAAAATTTAGAAATTTAAAGCTTGGAATTAATCAAACCAGAAGGAATACCCAATATCGATGGCAAAAACCAGAGATTAACTACTGTAAAATAAACACCGATGGAACAAGAAACCAGAATAATGGAGATGCAACGTGTGGAGCAGTAGCTAGAGACTATAAGGGTAACTGGCTCTGGGGATTCGACAGGAAAATAGGTAAATGTACCTTATTGAAAGCAAAACTCTGGGGAATTCATGAAGGTTTAAAAATGGCGTGGATGAAAGGAGAATGGAAATTAATCTTGGAATTGGATAACAAGGAAGCAGTAAACCTGATAAACAATAGATCTACCGAACACAAACAACTAACAATCCTTCAACACATAGACATTCTGCTCAAAAAAATTGGGACATAAAGATTTAGAACATACCGAGGGAGGCCAACCGCGTTGCAGATATCATTACCAAGCTAATGAGGAACCAACAAGAAGATATTGTTTTTCTACACATTTACCCTAAGGAAGCTGAGGAGCTGATTAGAGCTGATAAAACAGGCTTCTAAGAGGCCCATTCACCTGTATTAAACCAAAAAAAAACTAATTTTAACACAAATTCTTTAAACACCAAAAATCAATTTATAAATTAGACACTTATTTTTTTATTGAGCCAATATTTATAATAATTACATGAGAATTAAGCATGTAAATAGTAAATTAATGAACATTAATTTTTTTATAAATATGAGATAAATATAAAGTATAATTTGTTTAAATGAACAATAAACACTTATATTCATGCAAATTTAATGCTCGAACTAAAAATTTTAAGAAATAAAAATAATCTTTTAATCGCTAAAATAATTTAATTTGTATCACAATCAATTTTTTATATACAATTTAAATATACAATTAATTGTTGAATAATTTTAATATAAAATATTTTTATTAATTAACGTTTCAGCCTTGCAGGTGCGATAATAAAATCTAGTAGAATAATTAATTTTTTTTCACCCCATAAGGCAATACGTTTCTTCCCTAGTTTTTATCTCTTTATCTTGCTGGGTTTGTCTCTGTCATTGTGGAGCGTCAAAATCAGACAGTTTCCACATCAAAACCCATAATCATCGCGCTTCTTTCACCACCACCACTCCCCCTCTCTTCTTCTCTCCCTAAATTTCCATTAGCCATTTTCAGTAAAGAAATCAACTCTCATGGAACCAACCCAAAGCTCCCCTTCCTCAAATCTTCACAACAATCACCCTTCAACGTTCTTCTTTGCAAACAACCCACATGAATACCCTCAACTCCATGAAAGAGAACCCATGTTCGAAAAACCCCTAACCCCCAGCGACGTCGGCAAGCTGAACCGCCTTGTTATTCCAAAGCAACATGCGGAGAAGCACTTCCCCTTGGCCCGCCCTGACTCGCTCGACAAAGTCTTGTTGCTGAGTTTCGAGGACGAGTCGGGCAAGTGTTGGCGTTTCCGTTACTCGTATTGGAATAGCAGCCAAAGCTACGTGTTGACCAAAGGATGGAGCAGATACGTCAAAGAGAAACAACTCGATGCTGGTGATGTTATTTTATTCCAACGCCACCGTTTGGATGCCGATAGATTGTTTATAGGGTGGAGGAGGCGCGGTGCGGCAGTGGACGTCGGGAACGCCGTCATGGGAAATATCAGCGGCGGCGGGGGCGATGAACGGTGGTGTGGTAGGGGATTGTATCATGGGGCTAACGTGCCATACCAACATGATTGTCTTCATGCAGGTATATAAAATTGTCACATTGTAAACATTATCTACTTATTAAAAAATATTTTTACTTTAATATAAAACTTTGGAAAAATGTAAAAGAAAATGGGAATTTATTCTCACATTGAACCGCGTGAGAGATACTTCGCTATTACATTGGAATAATGCGAATGCGATTGTGCTACTCGTGTAAGTTGTCGTTTGAAATTGATTTCACGCGCTACATGCTATTTATTATAGAAATTAAGTGTTTTTCAAATGATTTTTGCTTTTGGTTTGATGCTTTGATTTTCATATGAATAAATATATTTTTTAATTGTTTTGTTCAAGTAAAAGTAGTGATGATATAAGAGTAGAGTATTAATATAAAATGGGGTGGGTTCATTGAATATTATTGAGCATCACATGGAAGCATGTGTTTTGAATTTGTGTCACATTTGCAGGAAGCATGGCTCAATATCAAGTCCCAGGTGGGAACCCAAAGAGGTTGTGTGCGGCTGTTTGGGGGTGAACCTAGAGTGCCGACTCGATGACTCGTCCGAGCCATCCACACCCGATAACTCGTCCCTGTCGAGTCAGGGTCCAACCGCCCACCCCTTTTACTCTCAATCATGGTCAGCAATGCATGCATATATGATATATCCTCTTAGTTTTATTATCATTACTTTTTTATTAGAATTAAGTTAGTAATAATTAAGGAGTAAAGATGGGTTTAAATTATTAAAATATTAGGATGTGATGCTGGTTTAATGAGACAGATGAACACATAATTGGTCATTTGAAATGTTGACCACTTGGCACGTGGCCTAATTGCACTACTTTGGTTACTAAATTTGGATTAAGTTGATACGTGGTTTCCTTTAACACCAACCAGTTTTAAATTAAAAATACATAAAATAATTATAATCAGACATCCCAAGTTGTCGAATTCACATTGGAAGGACAGATATGAAGTTCCCAAGCTTTAGGGGCTTTGCGAACGGGAAAACAGCATCTGCTATGATCCAACTCAACCCTTGGCCAGGTCAGCAGTGATAGAATTCAGAGATCAGAGGTCATCTGGCAATACAAAGAAGACAACTGCAGTTCTAACCAAACCATTTCTGACACAGTGTTAGTAATGTTGAAATGTCAAAGCTTGGAAAATTGGTTTAAGTTAGGCACCTAATATTACAATGTCAAAATTATGTGCAAAAATGTCAAAATTAGGTGCAATAATGTTTGAAAATTAAATGGGTAAATTATAAACTTTAGTCACTAAACTTTAGGGTATTTATAATATTAGTCCTTAAGTTTCAACTATAAATATCCTAGCTCATTTAGTTTCAAAATCATCCCAAAGCATTCTAGCTTTCTTCCAATACTAGAGAGATTTTAGAGAGTTTCTTGAGAGTTGTTTTCTCCTTTTTTATCTAGAGAGAATTATCATTGTTTTCTCCTTAGTAGATCGAGAGAGGTTGTAATTCCTATTTTCTCATAGTAAAATTCTTCTACCGTTGCCCGTGGTTTTTACCCTAAATTTTTAGGGGTTTTCCACGTAAATTTTGTGTCTCTTTTATCTTCATTTTTATTTTCTCAAATTATCAGTTGCGATTTTGCTCTATCCGATAGCCGTCTTCCGCAACAATTGGTATCAGAGCTAGATTAGAGTGTGTAATATATGCTTATTGTCTTTGTGGTTGCCACCAAAAGGTGGATCCTCCAACATAAGAAAATAAGAAGTTATTACTCATTCTTTGAAGGTTCCAGAGAACTATTCACGATAGTGAAATAGTGGGAGCTATCCGTAGAAGAAGCTATGCAACGAAATTTGATATTGAAAAATTCAATGGGAGAAATTTCTCATTGTGGAAATTGAAGATGAAGGCCATCCTAAGGAAAGACGGGTGTCTAGCGGCTATCAATGAAAGGCCGGTGGATTTCGCAGATGACATCAAATGGAACGAGATGGAGGGAATGCTATGGCAAACTTTCATCTAGCATTAGCAGATGAAGTATTGTCAAGCATCGAGGAGAAGAAGACAGCTAAGGAGATATGGGATCATCTCACCAAATTGTACGAGGCCACATCGCTGCACAATAAAATTTTCCTTAAGAGGAAATTGTACACTCTCCGTATGTCAGAATCTACTTCAGTGACGGAGCACTTAAATACACTGAACACCTGATTTTCTCAGCTTACATCCTTAAGCTGTAAAATAGGAGAACAAGAACGTGATGAACTTCTACTTCAAAGTCTACCGGATTCGTACGATCAACTCATCATCAACTTGACAAACAGTAATGTCACCAGTCTAGTCTTCGATGACGTTGCAGTTGCTGTTCTACAAGAAGAAAATCGGCGCAAGAACAAGGAAGACAGACAAGTAAATCTGCAACAAGCAAAAGCGTTGACAACGATGAGAGGGAGATCAACAGAACGTGGCCAAAGCAGCAGTCACAAACATGGTAGATCGAAGTCGAGGAGCAAGAAGAATTTAAAGTGCTACAACTGTGGAAAGAAGGGTCACTTGAAGAATGATTGTTGGAGTCTAAATAAAAACTCCAATCCACAAGGCAATACCGCAAACACTTCAGATGATGGAGATGCTCTATGCTGTGAAGCGTCAACCACCGTGGAAGGAAGAAAACGATTTGCAGATATATGGCTCATTGATTCGGGAGCAACATATCACATGACCTCAAGAAGAGAATGGTTCCATCATTATGAACCTGTCTCAGGAGGATCTGTGTATAGTTGCAATGATCATGCCTTAGAGATCGTTGGCGTGGGAACCATCAAATTGAAGATGTATGATCGAACAATTAAAGTTGTTCGAGATGTGCGGCACGTGAAAGGTCTGAAGAAAAATTTATTATCCTACGGATTGTTGGATAATAATGCTAGCAAGATTGAAACACGGAAAGGAATCATGAAAGTGTTCCGTGGAGCGCTTGTGGTGCTGAAAGGCGAAAAGATAGCTGCAAACTTGTACATGCTGAAGGGAGAGACTTTGCTAGAAGCAGAAGCCTCTGTTGCCTCATGTAGTTCAGATTCTACAATGATATGGCATCAGAACTTGGACACATGTCAGAACAAGGAATGAAAGTCCCTGTGGAGCAAAAGCTACTTCCAGGCTTAACAAAGGTATCACTTACTTTGTGTGAGCATTGCATAACAAGTAAGCAACACCGGTTGAAATTCAACAAATCAAATTCTAGAGGCAAAAATGTTCTAGAATTGGTTCACTCTGACGTATGGCAAGCACCAGTTACATCCCTAGGTGGAGCAAAATACTTTGTCTCATTTATTGATGACTACTCCAGGAGATGTTGGGTGTACCCTATCAAGAAGAAGTCAGACGTGTTTTTAACTTTCAAAAACTTCAAGGCGCGGGTGGAACTTGATTCTGGAAATAAGATCAAGTGTTTCCGAACAGATAATGGAGGAGAATACACAAGTGAAGAATTTGATGACTTTTATAGGAAAGAAGGCATCAAAAGACAGTTCACAGTGGCGAACACTCCTCAACAAAATGGAGTGGCAGAGCGGATGAACAGAACCTTGTTAGAAAGAATAAGAGCAATGTTGAGGGATGCAGGCCTAGAAAAAATCATTCTGGGCAGAAGCAGTCAATACCGCCTGTTATTTGGTGAATCGAGCTCCATCAACTGCAATAGAGCTGAAGACACCAATGGAAATGTGGACTACAGCTGATTATTCAAACCTCCATATATTTGGAAGTATAGTGTACGTGATGTACAACTCCCAAGAAATTTCAAAGTTGGATCCAAAATCCAGGAAATGCAAATTCTTGGGGTATGTTGATGGAGTAAAAGGGGTGTCGCTTGTGGGATCCCACTGCATCATTAGTAGAGATGTTATCTTTGTAGAAGATAAACTACAAAGAAAAGAAGACGATGATAGCGCTGAAAAGTCATAGACTACTCATATACATGTGGAAAAAAGAGTTTGAAGAAGGAGATTCTTCTGAAGCAGAACCAGCACATGATGAACAAGAACCAGAGAGTTCTGAAGCTCCAACAACTCGTCAATCAGATCGTGTGAGAAGACGTCCCAATTGGCACTCAGATTATGTTATAGAAGGTAATATTGCATACTGCCTTTTAACAGAGGACGGTGAGCCATCAATATACCAGGAGGCAATAAACAGCTCAGATGCTTCACTGTGGATGATGGCGATACAAGAAGAAATCGAAGCCCTTCATAAAAATAATACATGGGACCTTGTGCCACTACCACAAGGAAGGAAGCCAATTGGTAACAAATGGGTCTTCAAAATCAAGCGAAATGGTGACGATAAAGTTGAGAGGTATCGTGCAAGACTGGTGGTCAAAGGATATGCTCAAAAAAGAAGGTATTGATTTCAATGAAATATTTTCTCCTGTGGTTCGACTAACAACAGTTCGAGTAGTTTTGGCAATGTGTGCTACATTGAACTTACATCTAGAGCAACTAGATGTTAAAACAGCTTTTCTTCATGGAAATCTTGAAGAAGAGATTTATATGCTCCAACCTGAAGGTTTTGAAGAAGAAGAAAAGAAGAACTTGGTTTGCAGGTTGAACAAATCTCTGTACGGTCTAAAGCAAGCGCCGAGGTGTTGGTATAAGAGATTTGATTCCTTCATTATGTGCCTTGGATACAACAGACTTAATGCAGACCCTTGTGCTTATTTCAAGAGGTCTGGTGATAACGATTTTGTTATATTGCTGTTGTATGTGGATGACATGTTGGTTGCAGGACCCAACAAAGATCATATTGAATAATTGAAGGCACAACTGGCTAGGGAATTTGAAATGAAGGACTTGGGATCAGCAAACAAGATTCTAGGGATGCAAATTCACCGAGACAGAAGTAATAGGAAGATTTGGCTTTCACAAAAGAATTACTTGAAGAAAATCTTGTCACGATTTAGCATGCAAGATTGTAAGCCAATTTCTACCCCTCTTCCTATTAACTTCAAATTATCCTCCAGTATGAGTCCTAGCAGTGAAGAAGAAAGGATGGAGATGTCTCGAGTACCGTATGCATCAGCAGTGGGAAGTTTAATGTTCGCTATGATATGCACAAGACCAGACATTGCACAAGCAGTGGGAGTGGTTAGTCGGTACATGGCGAATCCAGGCAAAGAGCATTGGAATATTGTAAAGAGGATCCTAAGATACATCAAAGGGACCTCAAATGTTGCATTATGTTACGGAGGATCAAACTTACTTATAAATGGGTATGTCGATTCTGACTATGCAGGGGATTTGGATAAAAGCAAATCTACTACAGGATATGTGTTCAAAGTTGCTGGTGGAGCTGTAAGTTGGGTTTCAAAATTGCAGTCAGTTGTGGCTACGTCCACAACAGAGGCAGAATATGTAGCAGCTACACAAGCCAGTAAAGAAGCAATTTGGTTGAAGATGCTATTGGAGGAGCTTGGGCACAATCAAGAGTATGTCTCTCTGTTTTGTGACAGTCAAAGCGCCTTGCATCTAGCAAAGAATCCAACATTTCATTCAAG